GAGAGACTGAGTGAAGTGGGCAGTTGGTAGCCAAGTGGATACAGCCCCTCTGGCCTAAGGAATTCCACAGTCCATGTGCAGGATATTCCATGAAGGATGACAGTACTTTTACCTTAACACAAGTAGGAAGTAGTTTAAAAATAAAAGTGTGCAGTGAATGGTTTGAGATAAATAATTTCAAAAAAGACGCTTTGAAAATGATATTCTGTAAAATTCAGACTCTAATGTCTCTTGATGTTAAACTATGTATTATAAAATGGGTAAGAATTTCTATACTTTCATTTGTAGTTTATATATTATTGCAGTTGACCTAAGATAAATGCCAGCAGAAAAACACTGTTTTCTTTTTACTTAAAAGTATACGTGTTATTTTATTTTCTTACTACTTCTGGTAATAACACCTTGCACTCACTGCAGCATTTAGGTACTATGTGATGATATTGCTTCTTCTTTGGTTATAAATACAAACTGTAGTAAGGTAGTAAGGACACATAACAATGTTCTACTTCTTTTACTTTTTTTTTTTTTTTTTTTTTTTTTTTTTTTGGCTCTATCTAATGCTAAGTACAAGGAGTTAGGAAGAGCGAAGACAAAGAGGCCACATTTTAACAGGCTCTTTTAACAGCCTCGGAAAGATCAGGGATTTATAATGAAAATGCTATCACTTGTGTACTGTAAGGGGTTGTGGTAGAATGAGATCACCACCATGTTCAGATGCAGACTTGTGCAACTGACTGGGTGTAAGCTGAGTAAAAAGCTGAAGAATATTTTGCCATGCAAAAAATGGTGGCAGGATATCATCAGTTGCAGTGTTCAAGAAGCGTCTGGATGACGTGCTGCGTGATATGGTTTAGTGCTACTGTTGGCAATGGTGATGAGGAGATGGTTGGACTAGATGATCTTGTAGGTCGTTTCCAACCTTGTGATTCTATGATTCTATGATCACTGCGAAAGTGTACTAACAACATCTGAAAATATGTCTTCAGGCAACAAATGAATAATATGGTCTAATAGTTCGATACCGGTTGCTTGAGACAAAGAACTTTCAGTAAGTCCAGATTTGTTGTCACTTTTACTGTTGTCTTCTTACTTTCTGTTTCCTCTTCTCAATTGTGATGGCTTTAAAGCACTGTCTCACCTCTGCGGTTTTTGTAAATTGCAGTGGGTCATTGCTCAATTTTTTAATTTATTTTTACTTCTACCATGAGTATCTCCACTTTTCAAAAGTGCCGCAATTGAAGACAAGACTTGAATAAACTCTGGAAATATCTTGACTCCAGCAGTTTTAGCAGGAAAGACATTGACTTTGAATTCTCTTGGAAGTGAATAACTTATTTTTGCCTTAACATCGGATCTCTGGTGCTGTTTCCATGATGTATTTGAACTGAATTAATTATTTAAAAAAATATTGAATTTGTAGCTGTGGTAGAGGTAATGATTTCATTTTGCTGAATTATCTGTAAATCTAAATATCATATACAGTAGTAAGGAAACGTTATACTAGATAATATCATCTGGATTTGAGATTGTATTATTTCCTCTCAAGAGGTTATTTTGTACCAGGCAAGCATAAAGAAAAGTAAATAGGTTGTAGCTTTATTGACATTCTACTGCTAGGGACTAAGTAGCTGTAATGTGTATGACAAACACCATCATTTTTCCTTGCTGAAGTGCTGGCATTAGTCTTAGGCAGCTATTTCTCTTCCATTGCTAAGCTTTTGCCTTCCATCATTATATGACAGCTACAAAGCAAGGAAAGCAGATACCAACAGGGATCTAATTTCTTTTTCCGAATTTAATGTAAGATGTAGTTTCTCTAAACTAGTTCTTATCCATTTTATCCAGAAACCAAGCCTCTGGTGAAATGAAATGCAGCGCATGTGAAAATCCACAAAATCAAGTGAAAATGAAAAGGCACAAGTGCTGTGTGATACAGGGAGATGATATTATGGCTCTCATAGTTCTTGTCCAGAAATACCCAGTAGACTGGTGTATGGCCATGAATCATGTGTGCAGGATCTGGCACATCAGAGGCTGAAGATCAAGCCACCAGCTGTCACACAGGGTTTGTGTGTTTTCAGTAAGCATGTTGCATTGATGCTACCTGCTTCAGACTTGGATGGTGTTTGCAAGTGGACCACACAGCAAATATGAAAAAGGTCAATGCAACCTGGACATATTGTGCATGCATTGTAGACTTTTGTCCAGGACTTCTGGACATTGAATTTAATAGCAGAGTTAAGTTTCTTTAAATCTATGCCAGGCCCAACTGTAAACTAAACCAAACTTCCTGACCTTTTCAATCAGATTTTCATCTAATAAGAGGTGGAAAAAACAAACAAACAAACAAACAAAAAACCTGACAAAAATGACTGCAGGAAAAGCAAGAGAAAAAAAAACACAAACAAACAACAACAAAAAAACCCCCACAACCACAACACAAAAACACAGCTGTAGAAAGTGCCTAATGTCAACATGTTTATCAGTAAAGTTAAAAGTCATTTATAAGATATTTATGTTTATGTGACCTTTACTTGTATGTTGCATAGGTTGGCCTTAAGGTCTCTCCCTGTTGCTGGACCTGTCATGAATGGCTAATTATGTTGTTGGTGCGTGAAGCATTTGGCTGCTGTAATGCCCTTAACTCTAAAGTGCTTCAGAGTTTTAATTGTTAAGGAAAATGTGCGATTTATAACAAGACTTGTAAAAATTAATAGAATATGTCCTTGAATATGGACTGCTTTCAAATCTTCAGTGGTGCTGTGATTTGCATTTTAGGAGAAACTTTGCTATGTTGCTGTGGTAACTTTGTCTACATCAGAAACTTAAGATGCTTTGGGAGATAGAGTAACAGTAACTCCAGAGAAAACTTAATTGAGGTTCTTTACTCTGCTGATCTGCTGTAATATCTAGATTCATTACTCAGTATTTCATACATAGACAATTTCTCCTTGTCAAAACTCTTTTGAGAATCTTTTTGGCAGTTTAATTCAGCAGGTATGTGCTTGAGAAGCTAGAAAATAGTGAAAACTTATTTTGCACTTCGGCACATAATTAAGCTCATCCAGCTGATACAAAATATTTTTGTACGGATTGTGTCTAATATATAAAGTTACAGTTGCTAGACAGTGTACTGTTAATGAGAATGGAAATTAAACTACTTTATGGCCAGAAGGAAGGAGGCATGAACAGCACTAGAGAAGTGAATGCAAATTCAGTTTAATTTGCTTAAAATATTTTTCAAAATATTTGCAACAACATTGTAATACAGCTGTGTTTCCCAGTAAAGTTTCTATTGTGGTTTACCAAGAGTTTTAGCTGTGCCTTTATGCCTGGAGAATAGGTTTAGTGCAGTAATCTGGTAACACTTGAGCCACTTAACTTTTCTAGAAGTGTGTGAACATTTGAAGCTCTGAACACATGCAGCCCTGAGCATTTCCAGGTGAGGCCACGTGTTTTGTTCTTGAAAATATAGATGCTAGTTGTCATGACCAAGTGATCAAGGAGAAAGAGAGGAAGGGAGATTGCCTCCTTCTGAAGGCATACCTAAACTCTGCTCATTGAAACTCCAATGTTTTTGTGCTCACCTCTGACATTTCTGGGAGCTACTCCTGCAGAGACTTGATTTAGCTGTCAGGACTTTATAAAAACATGTTACTGCTTATAGTACTCAACCAAAGCAGTTTATTTAAGGTTAATATTCTGTCTCTTGTACTAAATGTATTTCTTAATATTACCTTGAGATTTAACTTTGGTTTGATTTGTTATGTACATACAGCTATACATTCAATAATTTCACTTTCAGACTAAAGTTGTCAAATCTGAACAGATAAAAATTACAGTTCTACATTGTTAATTTAGGAGGAATCAGCTTTATTGAGTATCGTTATTCTACTGCTATGCAAAAAACCACAAGTATTGTCAGAAACACAAGCTTTTATTGTAATTGTTTGATGGGATTGTTTTGATAGAAAGCAAATTTGAAATGAATCAAAATTATGTTGCTTATTCTCATTTTTATTAGTGTTATGTATTTTTATACTGCCACATACTGGATTGTGGTGCTATTTTTTTAGTATTTTAGTCGCATTTCTTTACTTGTTTATAACATGTTTTTTTAGACACAGCTTTCACGCTGGATTGCTTTAAAGCAGCATTATTCACTCAGTAGTTTTTGTCTAAGTATTCCTTACAGTCTTGTGCTAGCAAATTTTTTCCTTTCACAAAGAAAATCAGATGCTGATCATAAAGACCTTACTCTGTTTGTAATATAGTTCAGAAATCTGGAACATTGATAAATATGGAGGATACAATTCCATCAAAGTCTTTATTTTATAACTTAGTAACTTACTTTTTTTTTTTACTGCTTTCTCAACGCAACTGTTTGTAGCCTGTCCTCCACTCATCTTCTGTTTGATTTGGCTTCAGAACAAGACTATGAAAAATTAGCAACTTCTCATTGCAGCAATCAGCAATGGATCTCATAAATAGCTTATCCACATTGATGCCATTCCAGACTTTTGCCCTGCTTGGCTATCAAGGCTTGGTTTAAAGGGAAATACTGTCCAAAAGAATTTTCTTGATGATGGGACAGATTGTATAGTCTGCATTTTAACTGGAGGGGAAATAAACTAAAAGGATAAAGAGAGATATGCATTGCGGCAATATTATCACTTTCATTCCTATTTTTGTCTTCTAGGCTGTCAGTTTACAGTGTTAGTTTTCTGCTTCTGATTCATGTAATCTTGTTATGCCATCTTTCCTTACTGTACGCTGGGCTTACTGAGCATTCCTGCCAAACAAGACAGCTGCTGGTTCAGTTGTTGTAGCGTTGCCATAAATAAATAAATAAATAGAGAACCTTAGATGTATTCATTATGTTATCTTTCCTCTCTGAAATAAGCTAATCTGCAATTAATAAAATGTGGTTGACAAGTAGATCTGATCCATGGATGGACTTTGACTGTAGCTTAATACCTACTTTATTTTTTCCATTACAGGATATTTGTGAAGATATATCCGATCATGTTGAACAAATTCATGCTCTACTAGAGACTGAGTTTTCTCTGAAGCTTCTCTCTTACTCTGTCAACGTGATAGTCGATATCCATACAGTACAACTACTCTGGCACCAGCTCCGTGTTTCTGTTCTGGTTCTGAGAGAGCGCATTCTCCAGGGGCTACAAGACGCTAATGGAAACTACACCAGACAGACTGATATTCTACAAGCATTTTCTGAAGAGACAAAGGAGGTATAGTAACTAAATTGAGCATTTTTGATAATTTTATTTGTATTTGAAGAAGCTTGTACCTGTTGCACATTTCAAATTGCTAGGTTGGCAATTTTAAGTGTAGCTTGGCATACAGACATTTATTGCTACTTTTGTAAGAACCTATCTTGAGTGTTTTCATTTAGTATCTGTTCATACCAAACTAAGAGAAGAACCAGTAAGACCAGCTCTCAAAAATGTCATAATAGTGGTAAATAAAGTTATCTTTTGGTTGAAATAATTTTTGTAAAGGGGTGGAAATATTTACAGAGGAGTTTCTAGTTGCTCTTGAATGTAAAGGTCACATGCAATTCAAAACCCAATTTTTATGTGCAGTAATTTCTTCAGTTAAAAGCTTGAGCTCTTCTTGCATACAGAAACAGGAAGTTTGCACAATGTTTTTCCAAACTTTCCAGGTTATATCATAATCGCTTTAAAGCAGAGAAGATGGACTATTATTAGTATGACTTTGCAATTTGCCGTTAAACAATCACATATTTTGCCTGAGAAACAACTATACATGAATGAAACCTTTTTCCCCCTAATGCAGTGTTGAATTCACTTACATGTAAACGGTTTGTAAATCTGGATTCATTTAGCTAAATTGCCTTTTCATTGAAATGAATCATAGAATCACCAAGAAAAAGAGCTCTAATATCATCCAGTCCAACCATCCACAGCACATATTAGTAGAGGGATATATCACCAAAATATCCCACTAAACCATGTTCCTTGGTAGAACATCTAAATGTTTCTTGAACACCTCCAGAGTCGGTGACTACATCAGACTGTTCCATTGTCTAACCACTCTTTCAGAGAAGTATTTCCTAATGTACAATCTGAATCTCCCCTGGTGCAACTTGAGGCTGTTCCCTCTAGTCCTTTAGCTAATAACGTCGCAGAGGAGGCTACTCCCTCCTTGCCACAACCTCCCACTGCTCAAACAAGGTCACTTAGAGTAGATTGCATGAGATCAACTCCAGGCAGATTTTGAATATCTGCAAAGGAGTCTCCACAGCATCTGAGGGCAACCTGTTCCAGTGCTCTGTGCTCTCAACCTGCTGGTAACGCTCTTCCTAATGCAGCCCAGGATGTCACTGGCCTTCTTGGCCACAAGAGCACACTGATGGCTCATGATCGACTTGGTGTCCAACTGGACCCATAGGTTCCTTTTCTACAGAGATACTTTCCAGTAGGTCAGCCCCAAAGCTGTACTGGTGCAGGACCCTGAAATTGCCTTTGTTGAACTTCATGAGATTCTTCTTCACCCAACTCTCCAGCTGCTCAGATTTCTCTGAAAGTCAGCGCAGCATTCTGAAAAATATCAGCAAAACCTAGCTTCATATGAGCAGCAAACTTGCCAAGGGTGCGCTCTGTCCCTTTATCCAGGTAACCGACAATTGAGATTTACAAGACTGTACTCAATATTGATCGCTGGGGGGCATCACTGTCTGGATTCTGCGACCTATGTTGCAGAGGAAGTCAAAAGCCCCGTAAAGATGTCCTTAATTTCAGATCTCTGAAGTTTAAAGAGCATGTGCATACCTTTCTGCTCCCTTTTGAATTTTTATGTCTTTGGTACAACAAAGTGGGTGGCCCTGAAATCAATATTAAGACATGTCCAGGCCCACCTTCCACACCCCCTCTTCCTGATATATGTGCATCTGATGCTTCAGATTTAGTTTCTCCTTTGCTGTTGACGGTAAATCTCTGGCAAGTGAAACTGATGCTTGTTTGAAAATCCAGAGTAATGACTGAGGGTGAAATATTGATTTTTTGGCTCAAGTGTGGTGATTTCAAGACCTAAGAAAAGAGCTGATTCAGATACTAAGAAACAGAAAATGTCCCACATGGCTCTTAATACAACTCCTATTAAAAATGTCCTTCCAAAAAAGGGAGGACTGACTGGAGAGGGATGGATTATTTTCCAGTGGAATTTTTTTTTTTTTTTCCATATTGGCTTGCTTGATAATAATAATAATAATAATAAAAAGCAGTATATCCTATCGCAATTCTTTAATTTCTCTCAGTTAAAACATAAACAGCATTTGATAAAATTAATGGTTGGCAATAGAAGGAAAAAAATATCAATATTAAGTTCCTGTTCTAATGCTTAAATAGATTCCCAGAAATTGCTCTGTAGATTTTAATATTTTTTTTACATATATTTATTCAAGCTTTTCATTGAATATAATGTGATAGTGGCTTTATTTGAGTGAAGAAAATAAATAAGAGGTAATAAAAAATAACATAGAGAAAATTGTATCTGGTCTCACCTACACCCCTGGACTCTTTCCCAGACAGGTCTGTGTTGTGTGACTACAAAATGATTCACAGTGTAAGGAGTATATCTTCTAGGGGTTTTTGTGTGTATGTGGATAGTGAAACTGCTTGGGCAAACCAAGAAAACTTGACACAAGCAGATAACCCTTCCTTACAGAAACATTTTCTTAATTGAGTTCTTGAGGAATATAAACAAGGAATTAAAGTTTATTTTTTATAGTTTATAAGGTTTATTTTTTTATATTTTGTGTTTAGGGGTCATGTGCACATATGCATATGCATATGTGTGTATATATATACCCACATCCTGTAGCTTAGCTGGCAGAAAGTGGCAGAAAGTATTTAGAAGTAATTGCAGGCACAATATACTAGTCTAGATGGAAACTTAATCTGAGCCAGCAGATCAAATGTTTTCTGTAGTCCGCGAACCTGTCATTTCACCAAATGTTTGGCTTGATCCTTAAGTCAGCCTTAAGACTGGCAGCTCAGGCTGCCAGTGTTAACTGAGGAACTCCATGGAATTGATGTACCAAGTTTTCTTTTGTGCTCTATGACACAATTGCGTCTCGGTAAATTGCATCACTGCTCCTGCAACTCTCATAGTGTTCAGACAATTTTCTGGGCAGGGAACAGTCCTTCTGGGCTCTATTTATAGTATTTTAGAAAGCATACAGCACAGTCTGTATTGACTTGCTTAGGAACACAACCAATTGTCTGGGAAGACAGTAACTGTACTTTTGGCTATCTTGGTGCCAGCCAGAAGAGATACAAGAGAGTTCATGCTTTGAGGAATAATGGAAATAGAATAAAAATCAATGGGGCAAGCTGCTATGATGGAGATGCCAAATTGAGAAAATAGTTTTTTAAATAAGAACTTTAGAAAATTAATATTTTAAAGGACGTTTTCCCCTTTAGGAACTACCCAGGGATAGCTAAGAAGAAAGAAAAATCACTTCAATGCAGCCTGAGTTCTTCCTAGCTGGAGCTAATTTTAATAGTTGTATTTCGAAATTGATGAGAATAGGAAGTATGAAAAGGGCCAGTATAAGTCCATGATAATATACAGTGAATTTGAATGGTCTCAAACAGTTGGAAAATTCACAGTAGGAAAACCTTTCTAATTAATTTAACTTATTTGAAAGAGTAAAAAAAACCGCAGAATTGTACTGGATCATATATAAATACAAGATGGTTTTGGACATATAGCCTACAGTGTTTTACAGGAAATATTACTGTGTGGAAACAGATTTTTTGAAGTAAGTTATCCTTCTTGGTAGATGTGTGAATATTTTCCTGAATAAAAACAATAATAAAACTATGGTAATACTGGCATTAAATAATGCTCATCTGAACCACATGTTTGAATGGCTGCCTGGGAAATGACCAAGCTAAATGGTCTAAAGAACGTGACTGTAAATTTTATTAAAACTTTATTGAGATTTTATTAAGATTCATAAACACTTTTTTTAAGAGTCGAAGGAATGGAGCTCATTACTCAGGAGAAATGAAGGCCTCTTTTGCCTTTGGGAAGGGGTTTGATTTATATATGGCTTTACAGCTTCTAATATTTTCCTGAAATTAGAGGAAAAATGCAGCTGTAATACTAATCCTTGTTTAATCATTATTTTCCTTAATAAATGCAACTCCAGAACAGAAATTCAACAGTTTAATAGAAACTTCCCTTTTTAATTCTGGATTATTGACAATGCATAGTGTGTGGCATAGGTTCTACATCTGGATATAACATCCTAAATAAAAAATATCAAAAACACTTCAAAGTCCAAGATTTCAGTTGATAAATATATGTACATAAATATATGTAATGTATGTTTTCCACAAACAACATTTTTAGTAAGAGGAATTTTTTGTATGTTACTATGATTAATATGAGTTTTGGTGGGTGTAAGTACAGAGATCAAACATTATGTTTATAGAGGATTGCAAACAATAGCCTTCTTTATTGAGACTCTTCTGGTTCAGACCGTAGTCCAAGTGGCTTATTGTGAGATTGTAGGGATAACTGCACTAACTGCACCTTCTCTAGGTAAAACTTTGCCTTAAAGATATCTATTATGTACACCAAACCAGGCAAAAAAGACCAGCATACAGATTTAGCCACCTAGAATTAGAATCCTAAAACATGAATTTCTGCCCTTTGTGATGTTTTTAAATAGTTGTTGTAACCACTTGACCTAAAGTTTTGTTTTATTTTTCTTAGATCAACTTTCCAGTTTCTTTCTTGTACAGTGATTAATACTTTATTAGATGTTAGGCAGTGAAGCATAAAGCTGATATTTCATTATCTTGTGTGTAACATATGAAATTAAACTTCTAAAAGGTGCCATTTCTTCCTGTATTTCAGGATCGACTTGACTCTTTAACTGAAGTTGATGATTCTGGACAGCTAACCATCAAATGTTCTCAAAATTACTTGTCATTGGATTGTGGTATTACCGCATTTGAACTATCTGACTACAGTCCAAGTGAAGATTTGCTTGGTGCTCTAGACGACATGACCTCCAGCCAAGGTAAAGCAAAATCATTTGAATCCTGGAACTACAGTGAGATGGATAAGGACTTTCCAGGACTTATCAGAAGTGTGGGTTTACTTGCAGTAGCAACAGATTCCATTGCTCCTCAGAGTAACGAAGCATTAAATGAGAAAAAACATTTACCTCTTGCATCAGAAGATGGAGATGAAAGCAAGGACAGGAAAGGACCACATGAGCTTTCACATTCTCCTTCTAATTCTCCAGTTACTGAAGGACCTTGCTCTGAAGATGGCGTCTCATCAACTGAGAACAAAACAGTTTCTGCACAGAAGAAACCAGAATACAATCTTTCACAACTCAGTGATGAAAAAATCAAACACCCTCACTGTGAAAACTCAAATTCTAAGAGATCCATAAGAGACTGCTTTAACTATAATGAAGATTCCCCCACACAGCCTACTTTGCCAAAAAGAGGTCTGTTTCTGAAAGATGATGTATTTAAAGACTACATGGAAACCAATGACTTTAAAAGGCAAATCTCTCAGATAGTAAAGAATGAAATGAGTAGAAGTACACCCTCACTGTTAGATCCACCAGACAGGTCCAAACTTTGCCTGGCTTTACAGTCAACCTATAGTAGTCCATCTGCTGTTAGTCAGTCTTATGATTGCTTAAATAAAATAGGCGATAGTAATCTTGAGTACACAATAAATAATCACTTTAAGAACAGTCCTGTGAGTCTAGGAAAACCTGCTTACTATACCTGTAAAGAAAAATCAAAGCACAAGAAGTCTCATGACACTCTACAGAAAGTGAAAGCTGGCAGAATGTCTGTACGTATGTGTAAAACAGCTCCACCAACAGAAGTAAAAAAAAGAGAACGTTCTCTACAAAATGGAATTACTTCTCATAACTCTCAGTGTCTAGAGGGCGCAGAAACTGATTCTTTTTCTGCATCATCAGATGCTTGTAATCAGGGAGACCTAAATGGACAATCACAAGGTAAAACTGAGCCTTTTAGTTCACCATGTAGCCAAAAGAGTGCTTCCTCAGCTAGTTCTGAACATATCAACTCATCACCTCTTTTACCAAGAAGAAAGAAAAATAAAAGTGTATCCTCATCACCACGTTATAGTCATAAACACAGTAAAGATGGTGAGATCTGGTATGGTTCTGATGAATATTTAGCACTTCCTTCACATCTCAAACAGACTGAAGTGTTAGCTTTAAAACTAGAAAATTTGACAAAGCTGCTGCCTCAAAGGCCCAGAAGAGAAGCTATTCAAAATATTGATGACTGGGAGTTGTCAGAAATGAACTCAGATTCAGAAATGTATCCTACATACCAGGTAAAAAAACACAAAAAAATGGGTAGAATTTCGCCAAGTTCTTCAAGTGATATAGTATCTTCCTTGGGGGACAGTATTGAATCTGGGCCTCTCAGTGATATTCTCTCTGATGAAGATCTTTCTATGCCTGTGTCTGGCATTAAAAAATATACTGAAGGAAAGTTGGAAAGGACAGCTGCTACTCAGCGCACTGAGAATGAAACTTCTGCCTCAAATAAATCAGCTTTAATTCGTCAACTTATGCAAGATATACAACATCAAGAGAATTATGAAACCATATGGGAAAAAATTGAGGTAAGATCATAATCCTGTGTTTTTGTGCTGTGTTTTCAATAAGACTGTACATAGAGGTGAAGCTGGGAGCAAGGGAAAACCTGCTTTGTTTTTCTTTTAATAATGAAAATAGTCTCTACTGACCAATGGAAGTAGACAGCAGTAATGGTAATTGTGCTTATGACTGGCTGCAGTTAACCTTAATTACACAGAATTTGATTGTCTTACTTACACCAATGCCTTTAAACATGGCAAAACATACTCTACAAAGATAGCAGAGCTTCTTTTGGCCAAGATTATGTTCATAATAGGTTATTTTTGGAAGCATTTGAAAATTATCATTTTGTGAAATGATGCTTCGTAGTCCCCACTTCATATTGCCAATTTTCTTCACAAAAAAAAGTAAAAATAGAAAAATTGCTTTAGTGCAAGAATGTGGGGATAATTTTCTTGACTCCTGTCACATAATGTATAATAACTTCATTTCATTTTATTCATTTCTCCTTTTTTGCAATGATATTCCTTCTAGTTTTTGTGGAACTAAGCATAGCAGCTTTTAATTTAATTTAACTTGAGTTGAGATAGGATTTTTTTTTTTTTTTTTGGCTTTGCATCACTTCTGAACTACCTGTTCTTCAGAAAGGGAAAAAGGTTGCAGTTAATGCTATTATTTATTTTATGTTAACGTTATTATTCTGTTGCTATTACTCTGTCTTCTGTTTATAGAACTAAAAAATGGTTAGTTTTTCAATACAAGAGCTTTTACTGAGATGATTCCTGCCTAAGTGATGACTTGCTGAGCAACTTTAATGTGATATAAGTAGTAGAAAAAATAGAAAATTCCTCTGTTATGTGAGGTTATGAAAAATTGCAAAAAAAATCCTCCTAAAAAGTATCATACATGTGTTGCAACAGAGTCCTTTCTTTTGCCAGATCTCCTGTTTCATAATTCCCCAAGCCAAATGGGAAAAGTGTCGTCATTTGGCATTTAGTTCAGTTCTATTGTTTAATAAATCTTCAGTCCCAAAAAGAGGATTCCTAATTGCATGAATGTGTCTTAGCAGTAGTTCAAATTTTTTTTTTTTTTTTGCGCTAATTTTATGCTAATGAAGTCAGGTATGAAAGGAGAAGCTAATTAAGAAGAAGCAAGCACGTGCATGTTTGTAATCCACTTACATTGTGGAAAATGTCTAGCCTAATATATTTTATTTATCGAGATTGTAAAACAAAACTTAAAGAACTCAACCTTTCGTTTTTGGCCTTGAAAGAAGTGGCAGTCTCAATATCATTGAAAGTTGTATTTTAGATATTTTAATAGAGTGCAGAAAGTGGTTTCAAAATTTTATACTGACGGGAATAATTTTGAATTAATTCAAATCTGGAAATACCTCGACATTAAGCAGTTTGCTGAATGTATGCTACAGTATTTATTTATTGGAAGACTTCTCCATTGTCTCATTTATATGGAATATAATCATCTGAGGAAACTAGCCAAATTTGTTCTTTCATACTTCCAAATTATGTAGATGCCCTTGCACAGGTACTGTTATACTCTTCATCTTTCTGATTATCCATAGACAGAATTCTGCTTGTCTGGCCTAATTGCTGCTGAACTGGAACACTTTCTTTGTGATAAACACTACATATTTCTGCCATATTTTGCACTGTAGTGCAGTTAATTCTAAATATGATTTCTAAATTAATTCTAAATAAGTTAATTCTAAATAAGCTTATTTAGGTAGTACTGGGTATCTCTGTTTTGTGGTATGTTACATTTTTTTGTGGCAGTTCCATGTACATTTCTGAAATTACATTTTGGAGATAAATATGAGAAGAAGAGATAGAAAATTCTGAATGTTCCTTTTATTGTCAAGATGTATTTCTACACTAAAAACAGCATTAAAGCACTTTTAGTAGCTACCCCAAGTTAATTTTAGAATGCAGATTCAGGTTGGTAGTTTCTGTTATACTAACTGGAAAAGAAAAAGATATGTCAGCATCATTCCTGCAGGCAAAATCACTGGCGTTATTTTCAGTAAGACTCTTCAGCCTGGAGGAGACTCAGTGATCTTATTAATGTGTATAACTACCTAAAGGGAACATGCAAAGGGGATCGGGCCAGGTTTATTTAAGTGGTGCCCAGTGACAGGACAACAGGAAATGGACACAGTCTGGAACAAAGGAGGCTTTATCTGAACATCAGGCAACACTTTACCTTGTGGGTAACAGCAGAAGTACAGACTGACTAGAGAGGCTATGCATTCTCCTTGGAGATCTTAAAAAGCTGCATGGGCACTTGTCTCTTGGTGTTTCTACTTGAGCAGGGGTTGGACCACGTGGATCCAGAGGTCCCTGCCTACCTCAACCATTCTAGAACTCCACCTTATCAGTTTTGAAAGGTTCCTTTCTTTGATAAAACTAATTTTTCCTTAAAATCATACTAATGATATATTTTTTTCATTTTTATGTGCAAACATGAAAATTGAAAGATCATCTTAGGGATGATATTGTAATGATACATTTTAAATCACCTGAGTAATAAGATAGTGATGGCAAAAAAAAAAAAAAAAAAAAAAAAAAAAAAAAATTCAACCAGAAAAATCTTGTCCACTAGATAGCAGTCCTAGAATAACTGTATTGACATCTTTGTCCTGTAATCAGTAGTAACTCATAATCCCATTCTATCTGATTTTTGAAGGCATAATTATAAAGGGTGGAAAGGTAACCATGTGCAATACTGGGCATTCAAATGAAGATATTTTGGCTTTACAGGCCTCAGTGTTTATTATATGGAGAAAATTGCCAAATTTTCCTCATTTACAGACTTGCAGCTTGTTTTATGGCAAGCTCAGTTTTTGCAAGAGTCATATGAATACTTGAATTTCTCTGAAAACAGCAATCTGATATCTATCGTTCCCATCTTTTCACGAATTTCCCCAAACTCCGGTGGCTCTGTCTTTGTCAGGCAGTTCAGACTGGCACTCATTACTCACCTTCTTGACGCATTTTTATCTTGTGGATTAGAGTATGCACCAGGAATCCTACAATGAAGAGTTATTGCTGGTCTTTGTGTTGCCTTCCAGGGTCCAGTCAGGGGCATTGTCACCCTTGTGCAGCCATTTGTCCCCTTTGCAGCCAAGATCTTTCAGTGGAGCAGAGATCAAAAACCTCTTTTCTGAGTTATTAGAGTAATAGGATTAATTTTCCCGTGTGTGTGGGGGTGGGGGTGAGGAGAGGGGGGAGAATTAAGGTTTGGTGAAGTGTGCAGTCTACAAAAAAGAGTGTACTCTCAGAGCTAAACTTGTTAGAGTGATAAATAACCTATGGGTTTGTGTGTGAAATACTTGTATTTTCAGAGGGTAGTAACAAGGTGACTAAGCTGTAGGCTTCTACCAATGGTTTGATGGGCTCAGTTGAGTGAATTACATGTTGGAGATAGAGTTGGGAGTCCATTTGGGTAGTGGAGAGATGGCTGGAAAATATTTGGAGGACTGAAATTTAATTGTTTATATTGATAGAGGACATAGTTTCTTCTGGGCAGAAAATGAAATATAAATATTGCATTGGTATAGTTAATGTAGAAGCTGGATTGCTATAAGAGAAGCAAAGTTTACTTGTATTTGGAGATGATTTTCATAATTAGGGCAAAGAGAACAAATGAAGTTTGGCCGTAGTGCTAAGGGTACTAAAAAAGCTTATAGAAAATGATAATGCTGATAGGACTTGGTAATGAAGAAAAACAGAACGTAAACCAGTAATGTCAGAACAGATGAAAAATGCAAAGATAATTGACAGGGAACAGGGACTTGCTTTTTTCAAATTACCAGATAAAGGATTTTTCAAGTGCTGTAGTGCTTTCCTCAACCTTTTTCTTTCAATAAATTATGCAAAAGTGCTTTAATACTGAACCCCTTAAGATAAATGGATTACAAATTTTTCCTAATAGTAAAGTGGTTGTCAACATTTTTTCATTTATAAATCTTACTGTGCTGTTTCATAATATACTGAAATACTGCTCTTTGCTGAGAAGCAATTTGCAAAAACAAAAATCAACAAAAAAAATTACCAACAAAAATACAACACTGAGTAAAAAGTTATCAGATCCAGAAATGCCTTGGCAACAATGAAATCCTCTCAGCAGTTTTGTTGCTTTGTGCAGCATAATTGCGGATGTCACATCGTATTTGTACTGTGAGTGAAGAGCTATTTTGTTGCTTTTGATCTGATAATACTGCCCTGCTTTAAAAGCCCATCCCTTGGTTTACAAGCTGGTTGAAGTATTATTAAGCAATAATGCATATGGAATTCACATTCTGCTCAAATTCTTCTTACTAAAAATGATATTGAAATACAGTGAACGTTTGGGTTTCTAACAGTTTGCTTGAATTTAAACATCTCTTCTGAGTGCATGCACTTTTCTTTGGCATTTGCTTTATAACTGAATGAGTTTGCCACCGGGAATCTTTGCAAAACCATCAACTACTATGCAAGCTCTGCAAATTCTGAATTTGTAACTGCACATCTAAAACTGACTGTAGAAGTTATATAATGTGAAACACATGCTTGTTCAAAACTGTTTTTTAATTCCCCATGTAAAGGCCTCCAAATTTTAGTAATTTCACAATGATTTCAGGGTATGTCCTTATTAGTGTATAGAACTGATTGCAAGTGATGTTCTACATCAACCATTTGGTTCACATCTGATGCGAAACCTTTAGCTCCAAACACCTCATGATTCTTGCTGTGTACACAGCTAAATGCCACATCCCAGTCCTCCTGTTTTCAGTTTGAAATAACTTCTGACAAACTCTGTTAACTAGTTAACGTATTGATTTTCATATTATATTGATTTGATTTTTTTTTCCACTCCTTGAAGTGCCATCATTATCAAACAGATAACTGTTGAATTAACATTTGTGTTTTCTATTGTTCCCTTAAGCATGTTTATATACAGAGGCATAAGAAAGAATGCTCATTGCTTTCTATTTTCATAGTACTGCACCTTTCCCAATGCTTTAAGG